TAATTGTGAGATTATATCGCGATAAAATCGCCTAAAGTGGCGATTTTTACCGATTTTTGTTTCCGATTTTCGTGAAAAATCGCGATTATTCAAATACTATTTTCAATAATCGAATCTGTTTATAGAATTGGAATCTGGGACTACGACGAACGAGGAAAAAAATTTATGAAAATCTGCGTTGAAACCCGTTCTTATTGCAGTTCGCATATTTTTGATAGACTCTTAAACGTGATCTTGAAGCTGCGTGTAGCGCACTTTTGAGCAAAAAGCAGCACGCTACGATGTATCAAGCTTCTACAAAGTTATTGTCAAGTCTATCATGGTCTTGAACTTTTTTTTCACTATTTACACACATTTCCGTAAACCTGGTTTGTCGGTCAATGTATTGCCTTTCTTGTTAAAGGCGTTTCATGTAATTTTTTTAATTACCATAGAGTAGATTCGACCAGAAGACCTTGTAATTTCGAGGCAGAGAATATACCATTAGACTATTCTTACGTGTTCCTCGAATCGTTGAATTTTCTATTTTTATTAAACAAAATTTTTCGATTCACCTTCACGAAAATTTAACTATGAGCAAAATTAGGTATATGATTCTCCTATTATATAAAATAAAGATAAATAATTTTTCATAATTTATGTAAAAAATGTAGCGAATTTATTATAAAAAATAGATTGAATTTATATATAAAATAAAGTGAATATATTATAATCTGTAATTTAAATAAGCCAATTTATAAAAGTTGTTTTTTTAAAATTTGGCTATTCAAAAACTACTTATTTTTATTATAAATATAAAATAGACAAAGAATTATTTATCTTATGATAAATATACGAGCATTCATCAGATAGCGCTAAAACTCTTTTGAAAAACACTTCGATTAAAAATGACAAAAAACGCATTTCATCGCTCAAAAAAATATTGAATTACAATCACTTTTTTGGATAGATCAAAACAATGTACACTATAAAAGAAGCCGAAAAATAAATAATCAGGATTGTATATTTTTTTTATTGGCTAAAATACGCTTACCAGTATATGTTCATTCTGAATTTTCGATTCACAATTTTGGTATGGAAATTATGAAAATATTTTGCCAAAAAAAATCAAAAAATACTTTCAGTCTCACTAAAATAATATATTCTATTTATTTTTCTATTTACATAACTAACAAACTTGTTTTTGAAATATCGCGATTAATTGCTGATTTTTTTGGTATCGCTACTAATAACCAAAACTAACACGATTTTGATGATATGGGAAATGACCGAGCATTTCTATAATTTCTTAGCTTGAGTCAAAAAAATTTAAGTTAAATAAATCGCCAGTTTAATCGCGCTATATTGATAATATAAAACAATTACCGATCAATCGCGATTTTTCAGAATATTGATGATTAATCGCGATTTTTCAAGATACTGACGGTTAATCGCGATTAATTGGCGATTTTTTTCATAATCGCGATTTTTCAGAATATTGACGATTAATCGCGATTTCAGAAAACTAACGATTAATCGCGATTTCAGAATACCAACGATTAATCGCGATTTTTCAAAATACTGCCGATTAATCGCGATTAATCGGCAACTTTCTTCTCATAATCGCGATTAATCGTTAGTATTTTGAAAAATCGCAATTAATCGTGAAAACTTAGGCGATTTTGACGACATGGGTTTGAACTCGATAATTTCGATACTCATTCGCGTAGAGATTACCCTCTCGATTAAATGGCAAATCCCTTGAACAAGAGAGTTAACTTGAGGTGGGTGTGAGTGTGTGGGGTCCATGAGTGAATGAACTTGTACGAACACACACACTCACACCCCACATTCACAGCCGCACCCATACCTCAACCTTTTATGCTCATTTTTTCGGAAAAAAAACATGCGAAAAATCAAAAAATTCTTACCGGATCGGATCAGCCGTATACCGTTATCGGTTACAACTCTGTGTTGGTCGATAGCATCAAGGATTCATTGTTCTCCAGCAGCTGCAGCTAGCGCATACTAGTGTATCGTATAATAACGAAAATAAGCAATAAATTATTCTTTTATTACTCATGAGAGATAGTAAATATAATTTTTTTTTCAAAAATATTTCTCATATGTGTCATTTTTGTTTTGCCCAGATATAAGGTGTACTGCCGGAACACACCGGAAAACTTGTCAGTGTGGCTCTAAGAGAGACCGAAATGTGGGACTCACAAACTCGGAGTCTTACAAATTTAATACATATGATCAGAGGTTTTAAAATAAGTTATTTAAAAAATATCAAATAGATGAATAAATCAGAATTATAACGATTTTGATAATTGTACGCGTGCTCTGAAATTTTCTTTAGTGAAACTGTTCATATGTATAATCACTTTTCTATCAGATTATTTCATTCATTTAACATCGTAATATCGAAAAAAGTTATTTGTATTGTCATATACATGTCTAATACATAAATTTTATTATTTTAATGCTATGCCAGTGACGGTCGGTCACCGCCCAATAATGGCTTCACAGCGAAATATTAAATATTAGTCAACATTAACATTAAAAATATAAAACATAAAAAAATAAACTAATAAATAGTAAATGTTGAATATATTAATTGTTAATTAATTCTTATTTTATTCACTATTTTGTTAATTAGCTAGTTAATTAATTTTTTTATAACGTCCTCTAATAGGGAAGCTCGATGCCATGGAAACATATTCAATGATATATAGTTTTCCGCCATATGGTTGCTAAGGAGCCACAGGAAAGAAGTCAGTTCTTATTATCGGCCGTTGCTAGGGAAATGTACTCAACGACCTTTGACCCCGGTTGCTAAAGTCTCTAATAGCGGGGGCCTAGGGGGGGGGGGGAGCCGCAAAACCTCGATTTAAAACTTACACTCACTATTTTCTTCGAAAACGTATGTAAGTCCCACAAAATGGTAGGAACTTGGAAGCAGGAATTCAATGGCCGTATCCAGTGACCGGATTATTCCGGTTTCTACCGGAACTGTTCGCAATTGAGCAGTGTCGATCATTCGATACGATCATCGTATTCCTGCTTCCAAGTTCCTATCATGTTTTGGAGTTTTTCGGCCGAAAACGGTGTCTGTTCCGGTGGCTTTCGATCGAACATAAACGGAATTGAGCGCCGGAATCATTGATCTAGGTGTTTTGAACTATACGCTGCCCTCAGAGATCGTTCTTGGATTCAAAATTGGTTGTTCACTTTCGGATAATTTTCTTATAACAAAAGTGTTCATTTTGTATATTTCCACCTCTACGGAAACTTCTGCATATTTCATTAAGTATATGAGAGCAATTCTCTAGTACTTATCTTGTCATTCGGGGTGGTATTTTCATCTTTCACTTTCAAAAAGAAAAGGAAAGGAAAGGAAAATTGAAAAACTTTCTTTTCTATTTTTCAATTGTAGAAGAGGGGGCTAACTTTCCGATGCTGTTCTATAAAGAAACAAGTTTAAAAAAAACTCTAAAATAAAGTGAAAGAAAGTACTATTAAAAATGAAATAAGTCAAGAAGAAAGTAACGGATGATCTACAATAAAAGGCTACACTTTGCATTGCATATTTTAATCCCTGAATACTATTTATTAGAAAAATAAAATACATCACAACATACAACATGAGAAGCTATACAATCTAAAAAGTAAAGCATATTCCAATTGTGTACTTTTTGATTTTAAAAAAAGCAAAATTCTGTGAGATCAATTTTCGTCGTTATGCAAATTGTTCGCACTGTTTTGAAAATAAAAAGTATATAACTAAAATAAACTGTTCTTTGTAAATTGTAGAGCGTTTCATGCTGCATCTTGTGTTATGTTGTATTTTTTTAAAGAAAATATATTAGATGATAAAAAGATGGAATAAGAGAAAAGAAATTTTGCATTCAAGAAAAAACAGACTTTTTCGCAACGGCAAAAATTGTTCGCATTGAATTTTGCTCTTTTTGAAAACAAAAAATGCACAATTCAAATAAGCTTTGCTTTGTATATTGTAGAGCTTCTCACATTGCATCTTCTGTCATATTTTTTTTAAAATAAAATGTATTTAGAGATTAAAATATGTAATGCGAAGTATAACCATTTATTATGGGTAACCCGTTATTATTTAAAATGAAATAAGTCAAAAAGAAAGTAAGGGAAAGTAAAAGGAAAGTAAAAGAAAGTAAAAGAAAATGAAAGAAAGTTAGAAGTCCGTTAACTTTCCTTTCTTGAGTATGAGTGTGGGTATGGGGTGTCGGTCCGGGTGTGAGGAGTACATACACATACACAACTACAACCACAACCACAGGGTGAGGTGTGGGTGTGGGTGTCTATGGTCAACTTAGACCAACACCCATACTCGCACTATAACACTAAATACTAAAAAAAGAGGAATATAAAACTAAATACCAAAAAAAAGAGACATATGAAACTAAATACTAAAAAAAGATGGATATAAATCATTGCGTGACTGGTTCCACTTCCGCGTGTACTTTTTGATCGTTTCGAAAAACAAAGTAAAACAGAACACCGAAGATGAATGCCTGAATTGCCAACGCAGCATACATCCACAGTATTTTTGGATCGTCTGACACTGGTACAAGTGCAATATTCAGGATACTGCCGATAGCCGATGTGAATAGAAAAAGTGACATTACAATGGATTTCATCGACTTTGGTGCCTCTGTAAACGCGTACTCGAGACCAGTAACAGAAGCGAAGATTTCGGAGATGGCAATGAAAAAGTACGCTGGGATTTGCCAAGCTACAGTAATATTGTTATATTGTTGACACTCTTTACAAGGTTTCGGCACAAAATTTAAGTTTGGTTGACTAATATAGATTAGATGTTGAACAATTGTTGCCCATACCATGCCAATGGACACACAGAAGAAACCAGCAGCAATACGGGGAATAGCTGGAAAATTGATTTTACATCGTCGCAAGCCAGGATAGATCAATTTGTCAAAAATCGGAATGAAAATAACAATAACAATCGGATCGATATTTTGTAAAATATCATTAGGCAGAGGACCTGAAGAAAATCAAAGATTGGACAGCATCCTGTTTGTTTTGAATATTTTAAAATAAATCATGAACTTACCAACATTCATTTGCGCAGCTTGAGATACTAAATTGGTTCCAAACTGATTGTAGCAGATCCAATAGAATGGATAGAAAGCAAAAACACGACAAGCACGCACCGCTTTTTTGAGATCATCAATAAACTGATTGTTGTTTAATTCTGAAACCCTCTCTTTTTCATTAAACTCGCTTGCTGATGGCATGCTTTTGGCGTAATCCAAGAAATCTGGACGATCAGGTTGATAACCCAATTTTCGTCGCATTCGAATGGCAGTCATTGTCACTCGAGCAGCGCGAATGATTAATGAACCAGAAGGTGGTATTTGAACGTATTGATTGCGACCGATCACCAAGACGACGATGGTAGCAATAAATGCAACTGTGGGTAGAAGATACGCAAGCCAAAATGAATGATACTTTTCAATATTTGTAGTAGCGATCAATGATAGTGAGCCGATATTAATTGCCCAATAGAACCAATTGAACATCGATTGCATCGTTCTAAAATATGAAAAAAAGAGTTCAAGAAATAAACTGATAAGTCTTCAATCAACTCACACGCCTGGATCTATAATCTTCCTTTGGCCTTTGATTACTATAAAAACCCAAGAAAAATAAATACTTCTTTTGAAAAGTCATTTCAGTTACCTGTGATAACTGGTTTTGTTCTAGAATATTGTTCAGCCATCAATGGACTCACATTACTCTTTACACCACCGGTACCAAAACCCAAAATGATCATTGCTATGATTAAACCCGGAAAGGCGACACCTTTATCAATAGCTGGTGGTATACTAGTCAGAAGAAGTATAACAAGACCAACCATATAGACCGCACATGAAACAACAATAGTTTTGTATTTGCCCCAGAATTGATCGGCTAGTATAGCGCCAACGATTGGCGTAATATAAGCAAAAAATCGAAAAAACATTGTCAATGCAGTGGCAGTCTGCTGTCCACGATCGAGAGCACCTGGTTGTGTATCATTTGCAGTAGGTAGCGGAAATTGAATGTAATTTTGAAAGAGACCGGAGATTCCATAGAAAGCGAAACGTTCACATAATTCGCAAATAACAATTAGCCAGACTCCTAATGGTATTCGATCAGAAATATGTTCCAATGTTGAGAGCTCTCCGGCTGTCGGTTCAATTTCATTGAACTCTTCGATTGGCTCGATAATCTTCGATTCAACACCATCTGCAGTGTTCGATTCAATTTCTACAGGTATACTCATTTAGCAGTATATGCTTCTAGAGTTGTGTATGCTTGTGAAGGTTACTTGATGTTTTCAACAGTGTTTTATAACAGCTCTTCGAAATGCAATGAGATAAACCAATTCGTTCTATCCCTCTGACATATATTGCTGATCCTTGTCTAAATTCGTGAGTGTACTTCATTCGAGGACGTAATAATAATAATTTGATATCAACAAATTGTTATAGCCCTTTTGATAAGCTGATCAAATATTCGCAAAAAAGGACGTTGATGAAGTAGTAACATATCATCATCTCCGATGCAGACACAGGCATTCGTTTCTATAATCGATCTTAAAAGAACATGTGTATGAGGCGAGTGTGCCAGATATTTCACGTGACCAACTTGATATCGGCAGGATCTATTCTCTCTGGATTAACTCCTTCAATCGGCTTTCGGTAGGCTTCGATCAAATTCAAACCATCCTTGAACATTTTCGATTGACAAAGGTTACCATATATCGAATCTATCATGATAAGTCCAAGACAACTGCAAAAATGCGACTAGAAATCGTGAAAAAGTTCAAGACTATTTCGAAAAATACTTAGAATTCGTCTGACACCAGTAGGGTATCGGTGTGACTCTATCTCATCTCTTCATCGGCACCTATCCCCACTTCCACTCCCACACTTCACACTCTTCCCTACGTAATCACTTTTTTTGTGCGGTCGTGGTTTTCATTACTATTCATTTTACATTCGGCAACTAAGTGATTGGAGATTCAGAGTTGTACGTACAAAAACTTTACTTGCATCACATTTGACGATTTGTGATACACAAAATATTCATTTTGATTAGATGTGATCTGTTTACCAAATATGTTCGAGAGATTACACAAGTATTTTGGGTTCCGAATGCTTTTTATTTAAGTTGCGTCTGTGTTGAATATATATAATCATCATTTCATCTCTCGTTTTACTAGAAATCAAGAACCATCAAAGGCAGAATATGACCTTTTTTACAGAACCAGCTGTAAAATACCATTGGCGGCAGGCAACTGATTCGACTTTTTTCTCCTGTAGAGATTTGTCATGAATGACTTTAAGAAAAAATATGTATTTGAAAAAAATCAATATAGAAAAAGAAGTATGAATGTTATTCAGATCAATTTTTGTGCGTTTCGATGGTTAGTTTTCTTCAAAGAACTATTCCAACCACAACTTGGTCGAATACATGACAACCTTTATCAGCAATTTTCCAGCCTGCCGAAATTTCTACAGGTGGCATGCCTGTTTGAAGTTTCTTGACACTTCAGCACTGCCATTTACAATTGGTAAATGCACAAATTGTGGGTTCAACATATTGAAAGCAACACGCACATTTTGTATCGCCAGTGCTGACGTACTCAAGAATATTGCATTGTCGGAATTCTAAGTTCATAATCGCTTGCTTTCGATATGCTCTGCAATTATCGTTAGTACAGTCCCCTTCGAGACATAGGCCAAGAAAAGGTATTCGCCAATCATAAGCTGTTTCGGTTCATTCAAGTCGTTTCATACTACCGGTGTTGCCATACATCGACGAAGTCAGTACCATAGCCACCCCTCATACGTCGACAAACGAATAGAACGCAATTATTCGTAAAGAGTTTTATTTTATCATTAAATAGTATCGGATAATTCAAATGCAAATTTTTATGTCGCCAAATGAAGACGTAATCTCGAATATTTCTAGGAAATAGCAATTTTTTCACGTGGTTCACGAACTAGTCATAGGTGAAACTGTTTGATAACTGCGTTGCTAGTTGTCACTCATCTTCTGAAACCGAAAAAAAAACACGTTTATCACAGACATTGAAAGTATAATGGCATAGATCTGTAATAAGATATGAGTAACAAAAAACATCGACGGATATAGTGTGAATATGGTTGCGGTGAGGGTTGGATAGTTAAAAGAGGACTTTGTGCATGTATGAGTACCAAATGAAGAAAAAAGTGAATCGACTATCGGCCTTCAATATCAATCCCTATACCACTTCCATACCTACCCTCAAGTAGTAAATGAAAAGATTATTCCTCTTCGCCTTACGAGTGACTTCACCGTAGATCTCGAATCACTCTTTACTTATGGTGTCACATATCTTGTTCCCGTAAACCCTCCCCCAGTAATATAAGCCCTTGAAATGGTGGATGCAAAAGATGTATTAGAAGCCACTGAATTTCTATTAAGGGTGAGGGTTTACAAATACTGACTTGGTAATCTTATCATGTAGTTCAAAAATTGATTAACCAATTTTAGTATGTGAAGTGATACAAGATCTTTAGATATCTACTCATATTAAAACGACTGATTCATGACGTGATAAGTGCCTACACAGTTTGTTAATAATTTGTAACATGTATGATCAACTCTCTTTTAAACATCGTTATAAAATTCTGTTTTTTGTGTAGAAAAACCAATATTGAAAAAAATACGGCCAATATTTCTAATCAGTTTGTTTTTGAACATTTAAACATTCATCTTCTACGTCAAAATTCTATTTATATAGAATGAACGGAACCTTATTCTTAACGTATATATAAATAGATATAAAAAAGAATTGTGATAAATATAGCCTCAATCCTCCTCCTTCTTGCCAGTGGGTATTTTCTCCGAGGGTGGCTAGAAGAGTATTTTTTGTGAAACACGATCTGAAAAGGGTGTTGAAGTGTATAGGGTAGAAATTAGCAGCCTTTCCTCCCTTCTCCCGTGTTCTACATCACAGGCCATGACAGACGAGCTCCAAAAGCCATCACAGACCATGACAAGCGAGATCTGAAGACCTTTTCAGAATATGATAGATGACTTCAAAGTAACATCAGAGGTCATGTATAACTTGAGTCTAGTTAAAAAATCTATAGGTATATTTCGTTGTTCATGTGCTATGCTCTAACGTAACGAATAAGGCTGCAGTATACCTTAATAAGCATGAAAAGAAAACTTTTTAAAGGATTATGAAGTACAGATATATCGTGTTTCACATTATAATCTCGCAGGGATTATACTAACAGCTTTTTGTTGTCCAATGATCAACGTTTAGATATAGATATTGTGCTTCTTATCAATAAAAGCACTCTATCAATTAATAGCAATTTGTTTTAGGCATATCACTGATTGATCATTGAATCATGTACGTGATTCAGTTTATGCTATCCCCTATTCTTACAGTGGACACATGCTAATGATTTCGCTAGAGATTAATGTTTATCGCCATTTTTGGCGCTACTACTTCATATTGTATCATAAGGGAGACAATTTTCGCATAAATCTATGTGTCGAACTCTCTATGAAAAAACCGATCTTGTTACTTGATATCAGAATCAAAGGCAAACACTTATTACAAATCTCTTTATGGTCATAAATTATTTAGAGGACGAAAAATTATCAATAACTTCATTCAACGACTAAATCTGACTTCTACGCAGCTGATATATATTCTCTAATATTTCGAATTTTGCCCCGCAAAATTCAATCAGATTTTGAAAAAATACACTGACGAATTCTAAAGATTTTTAACATCAATTAAGGTTTTAATTAAAAAAGAACAATAGCGAACTCTACATCAGAGATATCCATCGCGGCTGGAAATCGGTCGCTACCGCATCGCTGCCGCGACGGTTATATGAAAAAATGTTGCCGCACCGCTGCCGCGATGAATTATAAAATAAACGTGCCACCGACGCGGCGGTTTTCAAAAAAGTGTCTCTAATTTCACTGCTACGGCTATATTTGACCAGAGATATTGGTACTAGTCCATCAGATTCATTCAATCTCAGAATGTTTCATTTTTAAACCCTGAAATTCTATTAAATTCATGCAGTTTTTCAATGTCCTGCAAAAAATCCTGCCGCTGCCGTGATGGTATTTTAAAAAGCCTGCCGCTACCGCACCACTGCCGCGGTGATTTTTAAAAAATTTGCCACTACCGCATCGCTGCCACGTTGGTTTCTTAAAAAAACTTACCGCTGCCGCTACCGCCATCGTGGCAACGGCGCGGCAGCGGCAGCGCCACGATGGGCATCTCTGCTCTACATCTTCCTAAACTTAGCTAAATTCCAATTAAAGTTGAAGTCAACTGATTTCAAATACGTACGCTCTATGATTTATTCTTTTGGTCATTATCAACTTTTTAAAATTTCAAATCTTTTAAAGATTTTGTTTAATTTTGTCTAACACCTACACTTTTCGAAACTAAACAAGTACTACATCATCAGATACACAAAAATCTTCACTTCGATTCCCTTGTAATCATTAGTAAATTCTACACAGATACAATTACATCATCAAACACGGTAATGATGTAGGTGTAGGCCTGGGTCTGGAAAAACAGAAGATCCAAATCCATACTCACATCAACGCTCATACTCAAACCGAGTATTAGTAGAATTTTCTAAGGCTTTTCAATTATTCATGATGGTGTGGGTGTGGCTGGATGCGAGAGTGTGAACGTACGTGTGAATGTGGGCGTGGATGTGGGTGTGCGTGTGGATGTGGGTGGGTGTGGGTGGGTGATAAGTGAGTGTGGGTGGGTGGTAAGTGAGTGTGGGTGTGGGTTGAAAGAAACTGTACCCACACTCACACCGTCAACATCAGCCACACCATCGGCATTCATAACCACCCCACTCCATCCCACACCAACACCCACATTCAAATCATCATTTTTTCTACCGATAAAAAAGTTGCCCATTGCTGTACTACATTGAATTGATGTCTTGAAATAATGTTTCTCGCTACACATACACAGTCGAAAAATTGCAAGCGAAAAGCTTGAAATATCGATAAACATCAGGGGATCAAAGACTTTTGGCCAAAGGTATAAAACCTTCTTTGAATTTTTTCTTATCGATCCCAGTAAAACAATATAATTATTTGTGTGACATATTTCATACATCCAAGTGTAGGGTGTGGATGTGTGGGTGCGGGTGTTAGGTGTGATGGGTGTGATGTGGGTGTGTGCATGTGGATGTGGGTGTCGGTGTGAATGTGTTGGTTTGGTCATCC